TCTAAGTATAAAATATCCATCTGTTCCCTCCATAAACATATATGGAATATCTATCTACTATGCAGCAGGTACCATGCTAGGAACCCAGGACAGAGATGAACAGGAGAAACATGGTCCCTGCCCTTGAGGAACAGAAAGACAAATTAGGAAGACAGTCATTCTATTAACACATGTAAATACAGTACCATATGACTAGTGTGATAGAAGGGAGATAGAAGGGAATAGAAGCAGAGGAAACCTAGCTAGGGACAAGGGACAGCCTCCCTCCCAGGAATTAGGGGCAGGGTACATGGCAAGGGGACAGGGAGTGTTCCATGCAGACGGAAGAGCCTTAACCAAGGACCAGAGCAGTGGTAAGAAAGTAAAGGAAGCTCAGAGGGCCTCAGGCCAACACAGAGAGATAGGAGGAGCCAAGGCTTAGGACTAGAGAGGTAGGCAGAGGCCAGATCTTCCAGGACTGTATAGCATCCTGAAGACTCAGACTATACCTAAAGGCAATGGGGAGCCAATTTAAGCAAAAAAAGAGCGACTCAATCAGATTTTAGTTTTACAATCTGGATGCAGAGTGGAAAGTAGATCAGAGTGGGCCTAAGGTAGGGGTAGAGCTATGGTAGGTTACTATTTCTGTAACCCACGTGATAGGTGATGATAACCAGGGCTAGGGTAACAGAGTGGACAAGGAGAGTAGATATTAATGAGGTAGAACGGATAGGACTTGATGGAGATTGATTAGGGGGTGATTTAAGCCTTGAGGTAATTCTGAAGTTTAGAAGGTAGCAGACTCTTGTCCTTGAACTAAACCAGTCATTTAATTGGGGAAAAAAAAGAATCATTTCTAAAAATGTATTCCAACAAAAAGAATAAACCTACTGCTTTTAAATGATTGCTACTATTTATTCATTAATGTATGAGTTCCAGCCATAACTCACCTGGTTGCCAACCAACAATAAGTGTTCTCCGAGGAGAAAGTCTTTGAGCATATCTTCCATCACTATCATGTGCTAAAAGAAAAAAAACTAAAGGTTAATTGAGTTTTGCATAATCAAGGTGAAGTAAGAAAATTAACTGTAAATTAGATATCGTCATGGAATGTAAAACATTATGATAAACAAAATCAAATGCTTTGATTTTTTAAAAAAAACACAAAATTAATGCTGTGCTTGTAAGTAAGTTATGTAACCCATTAGGTCCCTGATACTGAAAACTTGAAATAGTCCACCTGAGCAAGACTAACCAACTGACCAATATTTCAGAGAGTTTTTATAATTCAACTATTTTCCACTTATTAAACTATGTAGAGTTGGCTTATAACTTAATATAATGTTTAAATTGACACTTGCTAATGTAAATATTATAAAGGCTTCCTAAAATAATTGAAGATTTCCATGGACCATTTTACACTGACTTGTTCCTAACCATTACCTTTAAAGCTATGTACAGCTTTAGAATTAAAAATATATTATTTATTTTCCATTTGTTTTTACTTGAATTATGATATAATATGATAGAAGAACAAGATTAAAGTTGTTCACAATAGCCACAGAGAAAATTACATCGCTCTCTTTTATTCTGAGATATAAGACACTCATAAGTAGGTCACGAAGGCTCGCTGGGGTTTGAGGGGGAGACCTACATTCCAACACAATTAATATTCCTATTACTTTCTCTTGATTTTCTCTATCAAGTCAATAGCAGTCTCATTAAGTACTGAAGTTACTGAAGTTCCCTATTTGTAAAAAAGGCAAAGTAACCTTTGCATCTAATATGCGCTGCAGACATTCTTCTAGTGTGTCACCTGTTTTCCTTTTTGAAATTTAGTTTATGGTGTTTTTTTGATATCCAGAAACTTTTCTTTTTACTTGTCAAATTTAACAATATTTTCTTTCAGAGTTTCTCTCTTACAAAGAAAAACTGAGAAAGTTTTTTCACTCTTTCAAGAACAAATGAGTATTCCCTGATATTTGTCTTGTTGGTTTTTAAAATGCATTTTTTAAAATGCTTTCAGATACACCATGGAGCTAGAATTTTAACAAGGCTTGAAGTAAGGTGAGCAAATCCATGTATTGTCCATTCTGGAACACTTTTAAGAATATACAGAAACACTACTAATAATTATGCTAGGACAACAAGTGTAAACACAGACTATCTTAAGCGAACCGAGATGTATGGTTACCCTCTAAAAGGGAGCCCTAGAACATCTTGGTTCTGGTGGTAATACGGTCTGGAGACTTCTTTCTTTTCACTAAGATGAAAAGTCAGTGCCAATTTCCAGACACTACTAAGTTCTTCCAGTAATAAATGGGCTAATCTGCACGAGGAATACATAGAAAATTTGGAATGAACACCTGCATAGCCAGGTGGAAAAAAGCAATGTAAATACTGAAAAATAATTCAAAAATATTTGTATTCTTATCTTCTTTACTATTCTCATGTCCTCCTACTTTGTGCCCTCATTATATCTAACTAGATTATTCACATCAACAAATGTTAACTAATGCTAAAGTCACTGCCAACACAATTCTTCTCTTCGTCTCTTGGTTCACTTAGCACTGCAGACGATTTCTTCAAAGCCTCCCTTCCCAGTTGTCTGTGTCTCACAATTCCTTCCTACCTCCCTAACAATTTCTCTCCATAGTCCTCTGGGCTGGATCTTCTTGTAGCACTTCCTTAAATATTGATTTTGCCCACAGTGCCTGCATTCGTTCTCTCTTTCTACCTTTTACATGCTTCCCTTTGTTGTCAGTGTGAGGAAGAGCAGGTTTTGCCTACTGGTACCCGAGCCGCCACCTGAGGGTTGGGGGAGGGCTGTGTGCAGTGCTGGGTACCCACATGTCAGTATTCGAAGACCTAGCTCTGACTCTCTTCTCCCTAAATTTTCTCATCTATCTATCTCATGGCTTCAACTACCAACTCTACACTGATGTTCAACAGCAAGACTTTCCTTCTCAACTCCAGCCCTGTATTTCTAACTGACGATTAAACCACTTGGTTATTCCCCAATCTCCAAAACTCAACACTTCTAAAACTCAGCTTATTACTTTTTCCCCAACTTCATTATCTTCTATATTTTTTCCCAATTAAGAGCATCATTTTCTACCACCAGACCAAACCCCAGCAGCCTGCCCACCTTATTCCTCTCTTATCAAGGTCCAACTAAACACCAAGTCTGAGCTGTTAAGACACCAAAGTCAACCATATCTATCTTTTCTTTTCTTTCCACACAGCTTTGATTCAGGTTGCTATCACATCTGGCCTAGATTTTATCAGCTGATTTAGCTTCTCTAACTTTAGTCTCTCCCTGAACCAATGTGTTCTTACAGTACTGACACATCATTTCTTTCTTCAAAATCTTGTCACTTCGTTTTTCCAAAATTTCTTAAGTGACTCCTAATACTTTAGGCACAAATGTCACTCCTTACGTTGTTGATCTAGTCTCAGCCTCATCTCCTATCACTCTCCTTCTATACGTGTTCCAGTCATGGACACAATTTAGAAAAATTTTCTGTTTACTCTCCCACCAGACTATAAACTCCTTGAGAAAGAATCTCTGTCTTTCATCTAACAAAAAGCTCCACTGACTCTATCTCCTAAATAGGCCCGCAGTGTGTCTCTACTCTCCCCCTACTGTCATCTCCTTAGTTCAGATCCTTCATAGCTTTCACCTGGACTATTGCAATAATGACATAGTTTCTCTTTGCCTTGGTCTAACTCCTAGACAACGTTAAAGAGTAAAAACAAAGTTAGTAAATGTACAACTGTGCTTAAAATCTTTCAATGACTTCCTCATTCTTCTAAATAGAATACAAATCCCTTAATTAGCAAAGCCCAATGATCTGACCCTTTCCTAATTCCTCATCTCTTGACATTCTTCCATTTGCAGCTTCAACTGCATCAGTGACAACTATTAATATTATAGTTATATGTAGCTCCCTAAATATAGTTATATGTAGCTACCCTTTCACATAACAAAGTCTCTGCAAATGGCGGTCTCTCTACCTGTGAGACTCTCCCACTTTTGCCTGCTTGACCAATTTTCTATGATCATTCCAATCTAAGCCCTTCACCCCATCACTGCTACCACAGAAACCTACACATACTTCATCACACTGTGTAGTAACTATGTGTACTCATTTGTCTCTTCCCCCGTTAGATTATGAGCAATTTGAGTCTTGGAGTTATATATGCTTGTGTATATATTTTAATCTCTGTTTCCCAATACCTTAGGAGAAGTCCTGACACATTGTAGATATTTTAAAATTCTTTCAGATCTAAAGTTCCTCAGGCTTATTAAGAAGCTATTAATCTCTTTTTCGTTCAAGTTCTCCTTACTGCTGCAAGTGTAATATTCCTTAATGAAAGATTTAATAAAATAATACTCTTTATCATGAACATTCAAAATCTTACTCATTCTTTCATTAATCCACTCAACACATTTACTTAGCAGTTAGTATGTGCCAGGTACTTTGTTATTTGCTGGAGATAGAAAATAAAGAAAACAGAAGGTTTTGCCTTAGTGAAATGAAAAAACACATTTAAAAAAATCAATTTCAACACATTCTGGTACGGGGACAAGAGGGCATAGAACAACAAGATGGTGTAGAAACACCTAAATCTGCAATAGGCTCTGGAGACTACTGTTTCAAAGATCAAGTACAACATAAAAAGAAATAGTAATATACACAAGGGAAGCAAATTTAATCAAGCTACCGTCCCTAGAATTGGTATAGCTAGAAAATTTTCATTAATGGTTAATTCAGAATGTTTTATGAAGAGAAAGTACGCTTAAGAGACAGCTTCCAAAAAGTCCCTCAGGGCCACTCTGTAAAGTTCACAGCAGCCCTGCAGTCCTCAATGTCTATGTCACAAACACCCTGGCAACAGACACTGTGTTCAAGGGCACAATGGTCTTTGCTGCTACTGAATTTCCCACATTCTTATATCCTGTGAAGTCTTTTCAACCTTTGCTACCATGGAATTTTTCAAATTGTCACTTATAACAGTATCCTGATTTTTTTTTTCTTTGTTCCTTTCCACTATATGAATACAGTATGATACCATCGATGCTTAGAAATAGTATATTTTCCTTCTAATCATGTTTTTGTCTTTATTTGATAGGCAAGTTTTTTTTTTTCCTCTGTTGTGTCTTATAAGTAACTTTATTTTCTGTTCAGTTGTCTACTGATTGTGCAAGAGCATTCTCTGGAAGGAAAATAAAACTTATATAATACTAGTTCATTGGTTATAGAGTGAATAAAAAGCAAGTCCAGGTTATACCTTTTTCTATATCATAGATAATAGTCATAGTTTTGACAGATTTCAACCAAGATTTTCAACCAAGATTTTTATTGAGAAAGAAGAATGTGTCTAAATACCTACACTGTTAATATAATTTAGGGATATAAATGATGGTACTCATTAAACAACAAAAGAATTGGGGAACAGCAGATTAAAAAAGAAATTTTACTAACTCCTTAATATAGTGAAAACAGTAAAGCCAAATTCTTCTAACATAATTTGTAATTTGTAACATTACTTACATGAAGATTAGTGACTAAGTATTATAGAAAAATTTAAATATGTTTTTTATTATAAAAGAAACATATAACCACTTGACAGAAAATCTGAAAAAGAAAAAGACTTTTCTATTGTGGGTAATGTTCTCTAAAAAATTCTTATTAAACATCTACCATAAAGTGTTCTAGGTATAAATTTATTTCTATGTCTTAACTGAAGGTCCATAATTATTGTTTATAAGTGGTGAATTCTCTACATTTATCCCTTTAAAAAAAAAAAGGAAAAGGAAAGAAAACACCAGAAACTTGCAAGAAAAAGAAAAGAGTATGAGAAAAAGGACGCACATGTCTTAACTGAAGGTCCATAATTATTGTTTATAAGTGGTGAATTCTCTACATTTATCCCTTTAAAAAAAAAAAGGAAAAGGAAAGAAAAGAAAAACACCAGAAACTTGCAAGAAAAAGAAAAGAGTATGAGAAAAAGGACACACAGGACATAACCCTCTTTGAACTGCTGAAATGATCTAACAAATAAGGAAAAGAGGCAATGAGTAGCTCTTTTTTGTTTTTAATTTAATAATGTATTTATGTTATTTACTTTAAGTATAGTATGTGCACATGTGTGTATATAAAATGTATTATCCTGATCATAGCAACAACTCCTCCAATTTTCAAATATCTCGGAAAGGAAAGAATTTTATTTTACAATGTCTTAATAAAATACATTCAATACTTCATTATGCATTATCTAAATTGAACTTAGGGAATTATAAAAATAATTACACATTGATTTCCAGAGTTTACTATCACAATGTCAATGATTTATTGAAGAATACAAAGAGATGCTCTTACCTGAATGTTGTCGTAGAACAGAACGTCAGGCACTTTCATTTTCTCATGGGCATTATAGATTGGTGCACTAACAGCACCAATCCTCAGAGATCCAGATGCTATTTCACCTAAACATTCCACACAAGACAAAGGATTATTCAGAGCACTGTCTTCAGAGAAGCCAAGCCACCTAACATAGAATGCAATATAGCTTCTATAATACCTGTGGGTTCTTCAAGGAATTTTAATCTAACATCTAAAGAAATAAGCTTGAAGGTGGTGATAAAACACCATAGCTCTACACTCAGCTTGTTTGGTCAGAGACTATAACATATACATAAGCCAAATACCCATTAAAAAGTTCTGAAATACCTTGAATATCATTTTGTAGGGCTCATCCACTGAAAAACCCTATGAGAATCCTCCAGAGGTCTAGTTAAAAATACAGATGGATCAACCTACCCCAGACCTCTTATATTACTATTTTCAAGGATGGTCTATGATATCTATATGTTTTCAAATAAGCACCAAGGTGGTTCTGAAACCCAGCTAGAACGGAAACCTCTGTTCTACACAATCAACCTGTAATAATTATTATTATATTGTACCCTATTTGCTATAAATAGGTTGGCCTAGAATAGATTATGAGCTCCTTTAAACCAGGGAATTAAATAGTAAATTTCTTGAAATCAGGGAACATATCTCATGTGTATTTCTTATGGTAACCACATACACATGTTCACTGTCTGACATGTTCCAAGGTCAATAACATTAATAGTAGTATTGTAGTAATTGCTAATGATCCCAATAGTAGAAGCTATCATTTACTGAGGACCTTCTATGTACCAGATCACAAACTAGGAGCTTCGCCTCAGTTTTTTCTCATATAATTTCATGTAATTCTCTTAATAATGAGGCAAGAATTATGAGGATGCTAAGAAAAATACACATTAAAATAAGTTGTTTTGGCTGGGCACGGTGGCTCACGTCTGTAATCCTAGCACTCTGGGAGGCCAAGGCGGGCGGATTGTTTGAGCTCAAGAGTTCGAAACCAGCATGAGCAAGAGCGAGACCCCGTCTCTACTAAAAATAGAAAGAAATTAATCGGACAACTAAAAATATATAGAAAAAACTAGCCGGGCATGGTGGTGCATGCCTGTAGTCCCAGCTACTCGGGAGGCTGAGGCAGAAGGATTGCTTGAGCCCAGGAGTGTGAGGTTGCTGTGAGCTAGGCTGACGCCATGGCACTCACTCTAGCCCAGGCAACAGAGTGAGACTCTGTCGCAAAAAAAAAAAATAATAATAATAATAAGTTGTTTAAAATCACCCAGGGTACAGCTTGAAGCAGTCTGACGTTTTTTTCTACCATGTAATGTGTATTCAGTCTTTCGACTCTGAATAATATTCCATCCTGTGGAAATACCCTAGCAAGCAGATACACAATTACAATGCCTTAAACAATTCATCCATCTTTTTTTTTCCTACTTCAAATAAGAAAATTGCAGTTTGTTTCTCCTCTAGAATGCTATTTTTGTGCTAAAGCATTTTGAAAGACAAGGGGGGAAAGCAACATTTGCTTCTATGGAATACTGTGAATAATTTTGAGCTAAAAATAATTAAACTGTCACCCTGTTTATGAGTGCTACATATTTGCCAAAGCACAGTAGATCTTAACAATACCTTCAATAGAAAAGGAAAACCATGAGCAGTCACACTGAGAGTTTACTATTTATTTACTACCATTAGGCCTCTGAAATAGACACAAAGTGTAAAGGGAAAGAGCAGAAACGTGTCAGTGAATCTACTATATATTTGTGTGTTGGTTGAGATGGCACATATAATTTCAGGTTCAAACCAGCATCTGATGCTATCTATGCTTCAGTTTATGGAACATATCCACTCAGTAGATTTAGGGCTTTAAGACAATTTAATTCACTCGGCCAATGTTTATTATTAAAATTTCAAGCTCAAAAAGGGAAGTGCACTCAGAGAATGGTGATTTCTCTGGGAGAAACCTGGCTAGCTATCTTCTAAGATACTCACAGGATGGAATTATTTTGGTAAATTTGTCAAAGTCCTCAGCCTAGTAGGCTCTAAACCTGATTTTGTCATCACAACTAAGGGCAAATCTAACTTGCAGGAGAATATTAAAGACATATGTTCTCCATATGTATATATATATTCTGATATAAAATCAGAATTGCAAACTATTACAGCAAAATGAAAACTGCAACTTTCACAGGGACTACTATGCGATACACTCGTTGCCATAATCAGCATATTATTTGGCGGGAGACCTACATGGAAAGCCAAATCCTCACCAGAAGGTTGTTTGTGAGGATAGACCCTAACCAAGGGCAGTGAATTCAATGAATTCTCCATGAGAGATTGCCTTAAAATTGAATGGAACCAGACAAGTAAAATGTCTCTTCACTTAGGTTCTTTACCCCCTACAGAAGGCTTAGATGGGCACTAGTAACACTGGCCTGTAACTGAGACCAAACAATCTAAGTCTGAATGGCAGTCTTTCTTTGGATATGTTAATAGGCTCAATCAAACATCATTATGAGATTACAAGTCCCAGAGTTATTCAGTCTCTTTGAGTTGGCTCTGCATATCTGTATTCAGATCCATTAGTATGCCAAGTTTATCATTTTATTCTAAAAAGTCATCTTATTTCCTTAGTACCAAGTTATTGTCTCAGTGTAGCCTCAACTATTAAAAACATCTACTACAAAGAGAGCCACAATAGTCCCTTTCAGAGAGTGGTCACACATTGGATGTTTTGATAGAATAGGTAATTACATTTTAAAAAACTGAAACACTTTCATTGTGCTCCAGTTGAAGAATAGGAAACTTTTACGAGAAGAACTAAATCTCTCCAAAACTCAAAATTATACTTATGGCTATTTAGAAGAAAAGTACCCCAAAAGACAATACAGGTAGAAATGGAAGGAGGCACGCAATAGTATTCTGATTATTATTTTAGTCTGTATTGACCTAGAAAAGTTTCCCAAACATGTACCACAGGATATTAGTGGCCCTCAAAATATGCTGTGGAAAGAAAAAAGAATTCTAGATTCATTGGTGAAATACATTTGGAAAAAATACATTCATTGAAATTAGACAAGCTGATTTACAGCAAGAATTCTCACAGCCTTTAATATGTTAGTATCAATTGTGACTCTTAAGGATGGGAGGAACTGTATCTAGTATGTATGGAAATAAAGTAAATAAGATTTAACTTGTAAGTGGTTTTCAAACTTTAAAACAAACAAAAAAAACTAACAGATTCATGTCTTCAACCTGATACATAAAACAAAATGGATGCAAACAAAAATATTTTTATTGAAATTAAAATTATAGATAGCATCAAATGTTTGATAATTATTATTTCAGTTAAAAAAGAACCAAACACTTACATTTGTAATCCTTCAGTTCTGGTTCCACATTGTCATTAGTACTTATTTCTATTGAAGCATCTGCCAGATTTTTTTCTAATGCTAACCTAGCAAGGCTTGGTAGAAACCTGGGGGGAGGGAGAGAAGAATGGATAAAGTCAAAGCATTCTGTGATTCTTACCTATCTTTCAAAAACACACACACCCCTTTACTAATTACAACCAATTAAGGAAGATTAGTCTGGACCTGTGAAATCCAAATCATGCAAAATTTTAGAATAAATATAAACTTTATGTATGAATTATATGTTTATAATATTATATGTTTACTCCTTTAAAGTAAAGCTTATTTGTAATCAGCAGTACTCATTTATGTACATTTTGCAGAACAAGATTTAAAATAATTTGCTTTCTTTAGTGACTTTAGTATACCTCATAAATCCTGTTTACTATTTAACTGGCTTATCAAATTTTCTTAAACAGGTAAAACAACACTCCAGTCTGTTCTAAGCTGGCAATCACACATTCAGATCAATGGAGGTGAATTAATGAGGTTTTCTTTACTTTCTAACACAAATTATTGAATGAATTTAAGATTATCCAGCCCGGTTTTTCCTCCCATTAGAAAAATACTTGCTTATCTATTCTATATGTATGTTGTCAAAACAACAACCTGGTGAGTGACAGACATATTCTTCAAAAACAAACAGATTATAAGTATCATATGCTTGAAACATGAAACAGTTTCCCACCGCACAAAGTGATATCTAGAATTAATGATCCCAAGTGAGCCCAAAGAAATGATTTTTAATCCATGGCTACCTGTATTATACTACTATAAACTAATCAATATATGAGACAATGTTACAAATAAACATATTAAGAACATGTCACCTGTAATTTAGGTTCTCCACAGTTCTAAATCTCTGGTGGTATTAATAGTTTGCATAGCCTTGAGCCTAAGCTCTAACAGAGGAGAGGCTGATGTGAGCAAAACGGCAAATAGACAAGCATGTAAAGAACTGTCAGGTTTCCTGTCCCTGTGATATTCCAGTCTGCATATCACACTACCTCTTACCTGCTGCCTCATTTTGGTCCCAGGTTATGATAGGGGAATTTATACAGCTCTAGGTCAGTAGCTTTTCAGTTCAGCATCAAATCTGACTTAACTGTTGCTCATCTATGACCTTTCATCATAGTTCTTAGATCATTAGCTTGCTGTTCAAAACTAAGCCTTCACCTTATCTTCCAGCCCCCAAACTGGGCTTTTATCCTGTTTCCTGAGTTCTTGTCTTGGACCCAGCCAAAGCTTCCTCTCACCACTACCCCACAAACTAGAGTCTGGCCTGGTAACATTAGGCCTGGTAGCTACATCTCCGTTACTCCTATCAGACCACCTTGACTGGCAATGACCACTTTCAAGCTTAGACTTATTTGCTATTCCCAGACATCCCTGACATCTGTATAGTCTGTCAACAACACATCCTGACATTAGCCCTGTACTGCAACATTTCTAGATTGCCCTCCAAAGCCTACAGAGGATAGCAAATGGCACAAATGCCTCCCTTTCAGTGGCAGTGGCAGACATTGCTTGCTAATCAGGCATTCTTTCCTGCTGAGATTAAACATGCTTCACAATTATTCTCAATCTAGCACACAGACAGCACTATCAAATAATCAGAGGTAGCATGAAAGTTGAAATATATTTACATCTAGAACCTAAATTCTAAAAAGATATTGGCCCACTCAACAAACAAGGAGAATGAAGCATATCAGGTGGTATAAGGCCAACCCTTATTTTATTCTTAGATTTCAAGGGATTAGTTAGCTCTTTTTCCCATTGCTCATTGATATTTTCTACTTATTTTTTCTTCTCTTTCCCTGACCTTTGGTAAAATAAGTAAATAAATGAATGTGTGAAATATCACTTCTTCTATCCTACCCTCCCATAACCAGACCAAGCACACATCTGTTTCAAATTTTCCAAGTGTATTTATCACTATTATGAATATCCCAGTATCTTTTAAAAATTATTATTATATTTATCATTCTTTACCATCAGCAAAAAATGAATTGGAAAGCCTGTAGTCTTTTAGGGCTTGGTTATAAGAAAAACTAAAGAAAGATTCAACTACACTCTGGGAAACCCAGAAACAGAAGTATAATAGTTACCATAGGCTAACTCAAATAACTGTCTCTGTCACAGGAATGGGATTGGCTTTTTAGATTAAGGAATAAGATAGTAGCAGGAGACAGCAGTATGCTGTAAGGGTAAGCAACGCTCTCAAATTACCAGCCCTGGGAGGAAGAGTGAGAGAAAAAGACTAATAGGAAGAGTGAGAGAAAAAGACTGAGAGGCTCAGTGGATATCAGGCAGTCTTTGAGTTCTATTTGGAATATGTAATTAATTGATTAATTAATTTATGCTTATGATGTTAAATCTTACATTTTCAAATAATATTGGAATATTTAAGATAACATGGTTCATCCTATTTATAAATTTAATTTGTTATATTTGTGCATTAATTTCTCAAGAAAGTTTTGTTAATTGAGACATCTGAAGTACTTAAAAGGAAACAGAATATATAAAACATATTTATACAGTTTCAAACATGTGAAGGTATTTAATTTAGCAAAGTTTATAAATGGGACCAAATATTTTTCAAAGGCCCTTAAAAGTATTAATATCTGCCAGACTTATAGAGTTAGTTGAATGAATAGAAAAGCCTAAAGATCTACATTTTTTAAATTATAGCACTAAAAAATTGAATGTCAGTTTTCAAAATAAAAAATAAATCCCTGAATAGTTTTTCCTGCAAGCAGAACCACTCTTCAAGAAAACAAAAATTCACATCAACAATAACCATTATAATCAGTTAATACTATGTATGATGTTCTATTAGACTTGTGATTTTTAAAACTTAATTAGCTAACAGTTTAAACAATGAAAATTGTATATAGATGTTATTCATTTTATACCAAAAGGGAATTTCTGAAAAATGTATGTAAACTGAGTTTTTGATAAATGGAAAACTTTCCTCATAACCTTAATATCAGAGTCAGTTAATCTTCATTTCTGATTAAATTCTTATAACTCTGCCCAAAATTTCTATGCTAAAGGATCATCATCCCAAAATTTTCCAGAAGTAAATAAGTTAATAGAATACAAAATATTTGAATGAAGTAGAAC